CCCTGCCAGAAGTTGAGCGCTGGAGGAGCAGGTCGGCAGCTGCGGAGGGCCGGGCGTTCCCTGCCCGGGGTCCCTTCTCTGCGGCCCCTCGCCCGCCGTGTCCCCCCCCGGGCTGCGGGACAAGGACACAAGGGGGTGTTCCTGACACCTGAGCGTCTCCCCCACGATGCCACCCCACGGAGGGGTGTTTGTGGGTCTCTGGGTGCTGCTGACCCTCAGTCTGGCCGAGAGCCCCCCAGGGTGGGCCACTCTTGCCTTTGTCTTCGATGTCACCGGCTCCATGTACGACGACCTGGTGCAGGTGATGGACGGGGCCTCGCGCATCCTGGAGAGGACGCTCAGCAGGAGCACAAAGCCCATCAGTAACTATGCCCTGGTGCCCTTCCATGACCCAGGTACGTCCGGGACAGGGTGAGGATGTGTCCTGCCAGGGATGGGGCTGTGGGGAGCTGGGCTGTGGCTCTGGCTGGGGCTGGGGCTGAAGCATGCACTTCACAAGTGCTTGCACTGTGATGGGGATGGCACCTCAGCAGCTGGGAGCTGCACTGGGGCTCCTCTCCCCAAGCCACCCGGTGTGGATGGGCTGTTTCCACTGCATTAATCCCAGGGTGCTGACACCTTGTTGTGGGTGGCTCTTCCCCTTCCATCCTGCTCTAATCTCCTCGGAACAATGAGGGGGGATATTTCTGTACAAGTCCACAACGTGCTTCCAGGTCACCTCAATAAAAACATCACTTGCTGAGAGGCTTTGGTAACTTGCTGTGATGCCAGAATAAGTTCTTTCTGCCCCTGTCTTTGTCCTTTTCTTTGTGCACACCCATAAAAGGGCAGCTGTTCCCCAGAAGAGCCCTGGACTCCTACAAGGAGAGTGGGACCCAAGCTTTATTTTCAGAAAACATTGAGTTGAGTGAAAAACATTAGACAGGGAAGGAGGCAGAGGCAGTGAATTGATTCCTGCATCGCTTTGCTGGGAGCCTCCCCCGCAGAAAAGGGCTCTGGGTTTGCAGCTCACCCTGGCTGGGACCACCCAGCACGTTGGGAGAAATTCCTGGGCATAGGGATAGTTTGCTGAAGTGATCAAAGTATGGGCACAGGGGTTGGTCTGCCCAAACCCACTTCTCTCCTGGTGCCAAGGCAGGCCAGGTGCTGGACCCCAAGTGTCACAGGTGTTTGAGCCAGGGCAGATGCCAGGAGCACAGGCAGCGTGGGTGGCGTTGGAAGAAGCTGGTGCTGGGTCAGGGGGCTGAGGTGGTGGTGTCCATGTGCTTGCAGAGGTGGGACCTGTCACCCTCACCACGGATCCCCAGCTCTTCCAGCAGCGCCTGCGGGAGCTCCATGTCCAGGTAGGCATCCTCAGCCCCACGCTGCTCTGCCAGGCCTGGCTTGGTGCCTGCCCCGTGGGGGGAAGCCTGGCACTGCATGGTGGAGGGTTCCAGGAGCAATCCCTGAACCCCCCACAAGTGTGATGGGGGTTCAGGCTGAGCCAGACTGGCTGGAGTGGAGTGGATGGGTAATGTTGATGCTGTGTCCCAGACTCCTGCAACAGAGCAGAGAATTCCCAGTCTACAGCTCTTGTCCCTAATGGAGATGCTGTTCCCAGGAGAGTTTGCACAGACTCTCCATGGAACCAAAAATTTCCTCTTCTAGAACCACTGCTTGATAATCGAGTTTTTAATTTCTCAGTTGGTTCTTTTTTTTTTTTTTTTTTTTTTTAATTATTTCGTCTGTTTTCTGCCAGCCAAAATGTTCCCCAGGAGCTTAATCCTGCTTTATCCATCCCCACTCTTGCCCTGCCTCCCATGAATTGCTAAATCCCTGTGGCGTTTCCCTTCGGATGCAGCTGTTTTGGCAGGAGGTGTAACGCTGAGGCTGCAAATGGTTTCTCAGCCCTTCGGGGTGCCAAGCCCTGGGAAAATGAGAGCTGGTCCTCTCTGTGCCAGGAGGTTTCCCGGGAGTGGCTGGCTCTGCAGCCACAGGGGCGGGCACAAATGTGCCCACTAAAGGTATCTGCAGGAAACCAGCGGCTTCTGTGAGCACAGACCCCGAAATTACTGCTTTAATTATCTTTAGCGAGACAGGGACGGGTCTGTGAGATACTGAGGGTCCCTGCAGTTCCATCCCGCTGACTCCAGAGAAATGGGGCAGTTCCTCCCCGCGAGCATCCCCCGGCTGGGATCCTGGCAGGGGCTGGGCTCGGTGCCTGTGCCACGTCCCTGGCTGTGTCCCTCAGGGCGGGGGGGACTGCCCGGAGATGAGCGTGGGAGCCATCAGAGCGGCCGTGGAGATCTCGCATCCCGGCTCCTTCGTTTACGTCTTCTCGGATGCTCGGGCCAAGGACTACGAGCAGCAGGAGGAGCTGCTGCGGCTGCTGCAGCGCAAGCAGAGCCAGGTGAGCGGCCCTGGCGCTGCCCGCAGCGCTCCT